TCGCTCGTTGCGAAGATTTTTTTACAAATCGCTAGCAGACGGCGCGCAAGCCGATTCAATGACAAAGTTGAGTAAACAAACCCATATGTAATCTGTAAAACCAATTTACTGCAGGGAAAAAATGATAAACATGCTATTTGCCGGCCTAGGGTCGGTCCGTATAGTGAAAAAATGTGACCTCGGGCTTGAAAATGCCGCCTTCGGCCCGCGGTCTCGGGCAGCATTTTCAAGACCTCGATCACAGTTTTTCGCTATACGGACCTCCCAGCCGGCAAATAACATATAGATATTTTCGCACCAAATGGAGATTATTGTGTTTATTATCCTTGAAATATTTTTCGCAGCACCCGCGGTTTTGAAAATTGGGGAATATCAGCTCGGATACTACCCTGTTTTAGTTGGGGAGTATTCAGTCACGTGACGCGTTTAAACCAATCGCACGAGACCGAAGAAAAGAAAGATGACTCTATTCGAATAAGAAAATGGCCTTAGAATGGAAAATGTCATAGTAGATAAAATTAAAAACATAAGTTTGAATTTCTTCCCTTTTGCGGTCTGGAGTCTGAATAGGATTAAATACCGTTTATCAGGATCACAACGTTTTGCAAAAAGTGGCTAAAATATATCACTAACTAGCCATCCAGTCAATCATGACACAATGTTTGAGTGTAAATTTTAATCAGCATGTACAATAAGTATGATATAATCCTTCGTGACATACCTTTAAGACATACAACAACGACAAGTGTCTACTACATGTAATACTAGGACAAATACACTGCTGCTAAGCTAAGAATGAGCGGTGATATAATCATTACAAATCTAGCTCACACAAACACGCGATCGGCTCGGATATGATTAACTGCGTATTATACTGCAGTTGGTTCAAACCCAATACTGTACATAAAGTAATATATCAAACACGAAAGACCGAGTTTGACCGCATTTCCAATCAACGAGAAAAGAGTTGAAAATACGACGCGTAGGGGAGTATTTTTGACGACCTTCGAGGCGTTTGGAAATGTGGTCCAACAGCGCCTTGAGTGTTTGATATATCTTCTCAATCGAAACTAAAACTAAGGAGAAATGGAGAATTAAAATGGTAAAAATCTATGTTAATTAAGATATTCGTATATCGAGACACCGCCACGATCATGATTTTCTTTGTTTAAACGTAATGATTTATTAATGAGTCTGAGAGAGCTTACAACACGTCGAGTTGAATTAAATATCGATCTGAAATAACACGATTTCAAATATCCGAAATTTTGACATTATGATGTTGACTTGACATGGCATGACATGACGACATTTGCATCTGAAAAATGTTTCTGAGACGGCTTCTCTGTAATCTGGTATTCTGAGACAGTAAATGATAAAGTTGATAAAAGAATTACTGAAATGAAGCAGCTTAATTACCACCAAGACCACATAAGGGATTTCCTTCGTACATGGCGAACACAAATGGAACACACTGACCAATACTTCAAATGGCAGCCACGTCAAAACAAATGTTCCCGTTATCAAGAACAATGTCTTCGACAGCCTAGCCTCTCTCCCCATCGTTCCGACTCCATCTTGTACTCGACAAGCTTGCTTCCTCCATATGACGCAGTAAGCGGTGCAAGTTATCAACAAAGGAGTTGATAAGCTGATAATGATAACAATTACGAAAGAGCGAATTGTTATGACGAATGAACCAAGTAACACTCTGCCTGTAGTCGGAATAAGCGACAGGATCCATGGTGTTACTATGGCAACGGTGTAGTCGCGCGAGGAAAGTGTTCGGTGCTGAAGTGGTCGAGCAATAGCGTTAAGTCTTTCAAGAGAGATCACAGCCAGAGTGAAAATGGAACAAAAGCCTGTAAACATATCAACACAATCAAGTACTAGTGTTGACACTAGTCTGTCCTCAGGGATGACAGTTATCATGAAAATAGGAATTGCGAATATTCCAACCAGAAGATCAGCTATTGCCAAATCGATTAACAGGTAATGACAACGTTTGCGAAGCTTTTGCTTGCGAAGAACTGCAATTGACAGGGAGTTACTAATGATGATTATGACAGCTGTCACTGCAAAACACACACTCCAGAACAGGTTCCAGCTGTTGAAAATCATCGGGAGAGCACAATTAGACAGCTACCTGCAACAAAGAATGACAGCAGGCGTTTATCGTCTAGGATTTAACATTGAGAACAAATAGCATCTGAAATAGAACCCTACATGCTTGTTAATTTTGATTCTTAGCGTAGCAAACACCAACTTAGCCTGGACAATGAAGTGGAAGTACAGACTCCTTTGACAAAGTTATGACGGAATTCGCCATCAATAAGAGGACACACGCACAAAAAGGTGGCGTCCTGTTGTAAATTTTCTTTAAAGTAAAGGAGAACCAAACTGGTCAAACTCTTCTGGGGAAGGTAAAAGGTAAAGTCTGCTTCAAGCCAGTGCCGTCGAAGCGTATCCCGAATTCCCTGGCCTATTAAGTGAGTCGGAATACCGACCACTCGAATGGGATGCTGGTCCATCGCAACCCCCTTCCCAGCATTTAGTTAATTGTTGCCTATACAACAAGCTGGCGAGACAATTAGCGACGCAGATAGCCAGGCTTGATCGACCAGGGTCACCAGACACGGCCACTACGCAAGAATTCTGTCGGGAGAAAATACTCGGCTAGCTGAAGAATCTGGATTTCTTTACCAAAAATAATTCGGACATAACCGTCATAAGCTTCAGATAACGTAGAAAAACTCGAAACGTAATTGCTGAAACGAAGTGTTTATAATAAACCTTTATTCTATTTCATTTTATGTGAGTTCAGCACCACTTACATCAACTTCGAGCACAGATAATATATAAATTTAGACAAGCCTAAAAGCGGAGCTCCTGAGCTGGATTGTCAAAGCCCGATTAAGCTTACCCAGGGTAAGCGAAAATTTAATTTGAGTTTTGTAACTTTACGGTGTGGTTTTCCCTTTATTTTGTTTGGCCTTCTGTTTTGAGTTTGAATAATCTCAAGGTCCTCAGAATACACAAAACAAAAGCAGTGCAAAACATTTGTATACAAGAAAAAATTATACTTCGGTTAACTTTTATAATCCTGGGTTAACGTTAACCGGTTTCCGAATAACCCGGCCCTGTTTACAACAAGTTGACCTGACATGAGCCCGGGATCCAATAAAAAAAAAACCAGCACTTGGTTAGCGGTCAACTTCAAAAAGCACGTGACCTCGATAAGCTCTAAACTTGAGCCCGCGATATGGTAAAGTGATACTGGTCAGCAGATACCTTGTTTTGACAGGTGTCAATTGACCATAACACGGATTTCCAATATCAAAGAGGGGCGCTAGAAACCGAGAGTGCATGTCGCTGTCAACCTATTAGCTGGAGTATGGCCGCCATCTTGCGCGACTCCGTCGTTGTCGCCGTCGTACGCGCCCACAAGCGATAGCGTTAGCCATGATAACCATGAGAAAATCAGTTCATGAGTTTCCTTTTCTTTCTTATATGGGTTTATAAAATAACTGAGATACTACGCACGCTCTCATTGATCAATAGAGTTGCTAAACCTATGTTCTATTGTACCGGTAAACCACGGTTCCCGATCTATAGCAACTCCAGGCGGGAACTAGAGAACTCCGAGCTCTCGCGATAACAAATGTAATTAACAGTTTTCCCTTTTACTGCCTGAGATATCAATAACACGAATATCTTTTCATTCAACATATACATCGAAATTCATGAGGAGCCTTACCCTCTAAAAAAATTCTTTCCAGGAGGTCTTTTAATCTTGTACACGACTTATCAT